ATGTCCAGTCCTAACTGTTGCTTCTTGACCTGCATATAGGTTTCTCAGGAGACAGGTAAGGTAGTCTGGTACTCCCATCTCTTTAAGAGTTTTCCACAGTTTGTTGTGATCCACACAGTCAAAGGCTTTAGTGTAGTCAGTGAAACAGAAACTGAAAGTGTGTGAAAGTGTTAAATCCCTCAGTCGTGTCTGACTCTTTGCAATCCCTTGAACTGTAGCCCACCAGACTCCTCCATCCATGAGATTCTCCAGGCAAGAAGAGTTGAGTGAGTTGCCATTCCCTTCTCCAGGAGGTCTTCCTGACCCAGGGATCAGACTTGGGTCTCCTGTGTTGCAGGCAGATTCTTTACCGTCTGAGCCGCCAGGGAAGCAGAAGCAGTGGAATTTCCCTGCTTTCTCCATGACTCAACGCATGTTGGCAATTTGACCTCTGGTTCCTGTGCCTCTTTGAAATTTTGGAAGTTAAAATAAGAAAAAATTAAAATGAGTTACTTAATTTTAAATTTTATTTGAAGTGTAGCCTTTTTTTCCTAGGACTTTTGGTATTTGATCACTCAGTTTTTTAGGTTGGGCTCTAAGGCTTCTATACAGAGACCACTGAATTAAGTGTGATATGATTGCCCAGCAGTATATAAAGGACAGCGGCGCTAACAATATATCACCCTATGACTCTAGGTTGATTTTTTGTTTTCAGGGTGCCAATGTGATTGGTTGGGCATGCACCCAGTTGTTGAAGAGGAGACCTTTCCAAGTAGAGGGAGGCTATGCTGGTGATGGGAAGGCAGATGGATCCAATCTGTCTATAGAATATGAAAACATGTTTTCATGTGCCATTGTCCCCATTTTGTCCCATGACATATTCAGGGGTTTCCCTGGTGGCTAAGATGTCAGAGAATCTGCCTGCAATGTAGGAGATCCAGGTTCGATCCCTGGGTCAGGAAGATCCCCTGGAGAAGGGAATAGTTACCCACTCCAGTATTCTTGCCTGGAGAATTCTATGGATAGAGAAGCCTGGCGGGCTACAGTCCATGGAGTCACAAAGAGTTGGACATGACTGAATGACTAAAACTGACTTTTCAATATGACATTTTCATATGGAAAAATCCTTACCCAGATGTTAAAAAGAAGAAAAAGGTAAAAATTCTTTAAATTTTAGGAAGCTAGTAATGCAATCAAGGAGGTATTACTATTTTATTAATAGCTTGCATCTTTGTACTGTCTCCATTAAATCACTGAAAGGTCAAACTGCGAGACTGGGAGGGAGAACAGTTTTGAGTCAGAATAAGTTTAAAATAAAAATTATCAAATTCCTCTCAGTCGAAAGCAGGCAAATTGAGGTTGAGAGGAGGAACACAAGGATGTCATTGAGGATACTGTGATGTGACTCTTTGAGTAGATTCAAGGATGAGATCCTCACAAGGTCTCCTCTCGATGCCCAATTTAGCCCTACAGGACTGTGATCATAGACTCTAATCAGAAGCTTCTTTCTCTGAAGCAACTATCTCTTGACGAAAGGGCCCACTGAGCTTATTTACTCAATAGTCAGAATTTTCTCTTAAAGATTTGGCAAAGCCATTTCTATTATTTTAAATTACCTAAATGTTATGTGTAAAATCAGTGGAAACTGGAAAATGTAGACCTCTTAAAAATGCCAAATTACATGTAGACTTTAAAGGCCAATTATTACTGAGTAGGCCATTATTTTTAGGGAGTTGAATAAAGAGAAGAGGAATACTTTTTAATTTCATGATTCTGAAACTTAGGATCTGAACTGATAACATAAACAGATATCATCACTCTTGTCCTACTTTTGACTCCATATATTTTGCTTGCCAAAAGTCCAAATGATAAAAAGGTCTTAAAGTTGGAAATAAGGAAACTTATTTTATACAAGCCATGTTACTTGTTAATATGGGCTATTATAGGCTGAGAATGAATTTTAGAATTTTAAGTTCATTGTACTTATCTTTGAATCAAGCCAAAGTTATTGAGAGTACCATATGGTTTTAGAAGATATGTTTGTGTCTTTGGAAACTTGAGGCTACTAAATCATTAACAGCTGACAGAATGGAGTAGACCAAATGTACTTGGAATTGAGTTCTTTGTAGTGGGGAAGTTTGTGGATTTCCTGGTTCAGCCCATCTGATGAGAAGAATAATTCACAAACATGTTAGCTAGTTGCACAAGATGAATAATTTTGCCTGAGAATATGAGATTGATGAGAGTGAAGATAAATGTAAAAGACTGTGTCATCAGCTGAAGAAACTTAAAGAGGGAAATAATATTGCCGATTTTAAAATGTTGCATCAGGTTCAGGGCCAGGTAATTCTTTGTTGTCGGGTCTGTTCTTTCACGGTTTAGCAGCATCTCTGGCTTCAACTCCTGAGATGCCAGTAAAACTCTTTCCCCAGTTGTGAAAATCAAAACTGTCTCCAGACAATGCCAAATGTCCTCATGAGGGCAAACTTGTCCCTGAGTGAGATCCACTAGGCGAGGCTACAGAGATAACCCCCAAAGTCACGTTGCAGTTCCGTGGTCAAGACTGAACAGGATGAAGAGGCAGATTTATGAGATCTTGTGCTTATTGAGTACATCACTGGGATGGAATTTCATTTGGGGAACATAATAATTAAGGTTTAGCTTCTATTGTATATTGTACTGATGAAAGATAGACTATTTTTTTTCAATATAGTGTTTAAATGAGAGCAGTAGGTCTACTAAAAATGTGGGTGATTAATTGTCTTCTATTTTACCTCCCCCCAAAAAGCCTGACAGAAATACGTAGAACTGCCAAAACGAAATCAGCAGTGGGATGACACTGCGGAGACTGCTTAGGGTATAACTTTCTGCTTGCTTAAATTTTACTACATAGAGAGGCCACTCGGTGACTTACATACTCTCATATGCATGTCTTCATATAGAGACAAAGTGGCATTTGAGGCCAAGACTGTATTCACCAAATGCCTGGGCAATCATCAACTTTTCCCAGTCTCCTTCTGAGTTAGGCTGGGGCCTTGTAACAAACCCTCCAGTGAAATGTGAGCTGAACCTAACTTATGGGCTGAGGAAGCTAAAAACCAGAGTGTGTCTTCCACTCTCTCCTCCCATCACAGAGGCTTTGGGGCCCTCACCAGTACGTGTCCTGTGAACCAAAGAAGAGCTGCTCCTTTTTCTCATTGTCCCTGTTCTCTACTGTCTTATTTTGGAATGTCTTTTAGTTGGGTATTCAGTTTAGTTCAGTCGCTCAGTCGTGTCCGACTCTTTGCAACCCCATGAACCGCAGCACGCCAGGCCTCCCTGTCCATCACCAGCTCCTGGAGTCCTATTGGACTCTCTTAAGAATTGACCTGCTTGCTTCTCATATTTCCAGTGGTCATCACTTTATTTTTCTGTGTTTTGGAATTCAGTTAGGATTTGGCCATGGGAATAGAAGGTTCAGCTAAGACTCAAGAGTACAAGCATCGCTGTCAGTTGCATTTCTTCATGTTAATGATGGTGAGAAAGCCACATGCTTATGAATTAAACTTCATATGATGTTACACATGCTCTAGCAACTTTTGTACTTAATGAAGGTTAGGGGATTTGAGGAGTATTTTTCAGTAAATAAAGGATAAAGTGATGAAATGACAAGCGGTGACACTTGAGAGGCAGGATTGCATGATCTTTAGTAGCGTGTAGTCTGCTGTTCAATTGCCTGAATTTGAATCCTAGCTTTGACCCTTTTTACCTGTGTTCTGTGCCTATATATATATATATATATAGTACATGCTCTGTAACATATAGTTTTTATTCTTTTTTTCTTTCTCCTTCTTCCTCTTCCTCCTCCTTTTCTTTCTCCTTCTCCTTTTGGTTGATCTTCCCTTCAAGTGCTTCTTTTATTGTCAATGCCATCTAGATGTTTCTTATCACTAGTTAGGTTGCATATCAAAAGAATTATACCAAGCCTATGAATGCAAGAATATTTTGAGTTCTATTAATAGCCTGTTGTATTTCTAACTGTATAATCCTATGGTTAGTATAAATAAGGACTTTCCTAATTCTAATTGCTTTCTAATTACCAGGCATATGATCACTGCTAACATAAATGATACCATGGTTAAAGAGAAAGGTTCCCTTTGCTCTGGGCAGTTTCAGCTCCATGTCAGTGCACCTGTTGGCCAGCAGAACACAGGCTGGATTTCACCCCCGCACAGCCCCTGGGCAAGGCATCTCTGTGTAGGGTTCAGTCTGCATGACTGTTTGGGGCCCTGGTGGGCGCATTACCCCCAGAAGGAAATCTGTCCTAGGAAAGTCAAATCTCACGCTCCAAGGTGAGTCCTGTTAACTGGATTGGATGCTAGTAGTTGTGCATGGTTTCTTTGTCCTTGTTGCTATGAAAGGGTGAAGGTAAGTGTTAAGCTCATCACTTGAAGGCTTTGAGAATGAGTAGGAATCTGCAGGTTATCAGGTGGTGAGCATCTAGACTTAAACCCTTGAGATTGGATGAGATCACTTAGGAATAGTGAGTGAAATAAGAAGGCAAATGGACTAAGAAACTCAGACTTTCAGAGATCACATAAACGGATAGGAATGGGAAAAGGAGACCTTAAAAAGGGAGGGAGAGAGTGAAGGTGCATCATCACAGGGGGGAGAGAAAACCAAGCCTACACTTCAGCCACCTGATGTGAAAAGCTGGCTCATTAGAGAAGACCCTGATCCTGGGAAAGATTGAGGGCAGGAGGGGAAGGGAACAACAGAGGCCAAGGCGGCTGGATGGCACTGCTGACTCAATGGACTTGAGTTTGAGCAAACTCCAGGAAATGGGGAAGCACAGGGAAGCCTGGCATGCCGTGGTCCACGGCGTCACAGAGAGTTGAACACGACAGTGACTGAACAATAACAACACTCTGTGAATAGCCATTTCGACCACATGCTTGTGCACATTAAGATGGAGATTTGTAGTCCATTGAAAAGTCAGGCAGGCATCCCTCTTCCTCACTGATCAACCTTCTGTCTCCTAGGTAAAAGCCTCCGATGCAGATGCAGGACTCTATGGCTTTGTTGAATATTCTCTTTATGCTGGATTCCAAAGCTACGATGCACCTCAAGCATTCCAGATAGACCCACATGATGGGCACATCTGTGTTTCTCAAGACACTGACAGGGAAAGAGATCCAGCCACCTATGATCTCTTGGTGAAAGCTAAGGATGGGGTAAGTCTTTATCTGTGAAATTTTACACATACTCAAAAGTGAACTACTGTGTGTGCATTTGAGAGTACGAAGAATTAGCAATCAATAACTGGTCAATCTTGTTTCATAAATCACTGCCTCTTTCCTTTGCTGGAGTGTTTGGAAGCAGATACCAGACATATCATTTCATTTGTAAATAATTCAGTAATAGCCCTAATGGATAGTGACTTTTAAAAACACAACTACACTATAGTACATTAGCAGTAGTTCTTTATCTAATATATATTCCATTTAAATTTTACTGGATTACAAAGAAAGATTGCAAACTTTTAATAGTTGGCATGTTTTTATCAAGATCCAAATTAGTCCACAATAAGGATTGCTATATTCCTTAAATTTCCATCTGTAACAGCCCTGTACCTGTTCCCTCTCACCTTTTCTCCTACAGTATTGATTTTTGGAAAAAATTTAATCAATTGGCCTATAAAATTTCCATATTCTAAATGAGGTTTATTGCATCATTGAGATTCATTTAATGCTTTCTTTTATCATAGTTTCTATAAAATGGCATTTTGAACTAGAGACTGATGAATTTTGGCTTTATTCAGTGGTGCTCTGTGCTTCTTATTGCATCAGCAGACACATGCTATTATTTCAGTAGGGGTTTCAGTGGGGCAAGTTTTGAATTCTGTTATTTTTTGCATTTATTATCTGAAATTCTTCAATTAAGAAGAATGTTCTCTCATCAACTATTTGATTGGCTTGAAGTACAGTTCTTCAAGAAAGGCAGGATAATGCTTGATTGTTTCACTTTGTTTTACCAGTTTTTAAAATAATGAGTCAATACATTTACTATCTTCAAACATTACTGATGATTTTTTTCTTACTTTGATTATAAATTCTTGATTTTTTTTTTTGTATATTTGATGTGTTTCATTCATTGCTTTGGTAAAGACTCCACCAGCAATACAGGGGAGCCCAGTTCGATTTCTGGGTTGGGAAGATCCCCTGGAGAAGGGACAGGCTGCCCACTCCAGTATTCCTGGGCTTCTCTGGTGGCTCAGATGGTGAAGAATCTGCCTGCAATGTGGGAGACCTGGTTTTAATCCCTGGGTTAGGAAGATCTCCTGAAGGAAGGCATGACAACCTACTCCAATATTCTTGCCTGGAGAATCCCCATAGACAGAGGTGCCGGCGGGCTGCAGTCCACAGGGTCACAAAGAGCCGGACGTGACTGAGTGACTGAAGCACAGCACAGTGCATGCATCGCTGACTTTGTCCTTTCTAATGTTCATGTCAGTTGACCATCATCTGAGCCACCAGGGAAACCCTAAGATCTATAGGGGCACTATCCGTTTGTTTTCCTTCGCAGCCAATACTTTTTCTGTCCCTTTACGAAGTATTGCTTATATTAGGGACATTAAGGGCTTCCTTGGCAACTCAGACTGTAAAGAATCTGCCTGCAATGCCAGAGGAGAAGGCAATGGCAACCCACTCCAGTACTCTTGCCTGGAAAATCCCATGGATGGAGGAGCCTGGTAGGCTGCAGTCCATGGGGTCATGAAGAGTCAGACACGACTGAGCGACTTGTTTCACTTTTCACTTTCATGCATTGGAGAAGGCAATGGCAACCCACTCCAGTGTTCTTGCCTGGAGAATCCCAGGGACGGAGGAGCCTAGTGAGCTGCCATCTATGGGGTCGCACAGAGTCGGACACGACTGAAGCGACTTAGCAGCAGCAGCAGCAATGCCAGAAACTCAGCTTAGATCCCTGGGGCAGGAAGGTCACCTGGAGGAGGAAATAGCTACCCACTGCAGTATTCTTGCTGGAGAATCACTTTGACAGAGGAGCCTGGCAGGCCATGATCCATCAGGTCGCAAAGGGTTGGACATGACTGAAGTGACTTAGCACAGTGCACAGGGACATTAAGACAGTTTCTTTCAAATATTTAATTGTTTTAACTTTTGCACTTATTATTTCAGTCTCATGGGGGGAAGTTTCATTTTTTCCCAGTGTGGATATTCAGTTGACCCAGCACCATTTGCTGAAATGGTCAGTCTTTCCTCACTGTGTGCAGTGTCACCTCTGTCACAAATCTTGTAATTATATATGTGTGTCTATTTCTGGGTACCCTATTTTTTTACTTATTTGTCTACCTTTGTACTAGCTATATATTCTGTTGATTATTTAGCTTTATAATAGGTCATGATATCACGTATTTTTTTAGATTTGTCCATTTTCAAGATTGCTTTGGTTGTCCCTAATCATTCTACATTTTCAAGTACGTTTTAGGAATAGCTTGGTCAACTTTCCATTACAGTGCAGCAAAGATAGCCTTCTCTATGCATTATTCTGCACATTCTTTTTATGTAGTCTGTTTTAGAGACTTTCCTTAATTTTTTTATCTGCTTTATACGCACTCATATAGATCAGTACTGCTATTACCTTTCTGGTCTAATTTTTGAAATTAGTGGGAGAAGCTACCTACATAAGACATGAATTGATGGAACAAATAAGTCTAAATTTATTTATTACAAGTATTTTCATCATAGGGGATTGAATGCAAAAGTACGAAGTCAAGAGATACCTGGAGTAACAGGCAAGTTTGGCCTTGGAGTACAAAATGAAGCAGGGCAAAAGCTAACAGAGTTTTGTCAAGAGAGCACCCTGGTCAGAGCAAATGCCCCCTTCAATAGCACAAAAGATGACTCTACACATAGACATCATCATATAGTCAATACTGAAATCAGACTGATCACATTTTTTGCAGCCCAAGATTTAGAAGCTCTATACAGTCAGCAAAAATAATAGCTGGTGCTGACTATGGCTCAGATCATGACCTCCTTATTACAAAATTCAGGCTCAAATTGAAGAAAGTAGGGAAAACCACTAGGCCATTCAGGTATGACCTAAATCAAACCCCTTATGATTATACAGTGGAGGTGATGAATAGATTCAAGATACTAGATTTGGTAGATAGACTGCTTGAAAAACTATGGATGGAGGTTCATAACATTGTACAGGAGGCAGTGACCAAAACCATCCAAAAAAAAAGTAATGCAAGAAGGCAAAGTTGTTGTCTGAGAAGTCTTTATGAATTGCTGAGAAAAGAAGAAAAGCTAAAGGCAAGGAAGAAAGGGAAAGATATACTCAACTGAAAGCAAAGTTCTAGAGAACAGCAAGGAGACATATGAAGGCCTTCTTAAATGAACAATGCAAAGAAATAGAGGAAAATAATAGACTGGGAAAGACTAGAAATCTCTTTAAGAAATTTGGAGATATCAAGGCAAAATTTCATGCAAGGATGGGCATGATAAAGGACAGGCAAGGGCCTAACAGAAGCCGAAGAGATTAAGAAGTGACAAGACTACATAGAAAAACTATAAAAAAAAAAAAGTCTTTATGAACTGGATCACCATGATAATGTGGTCACTTATGTAGAGCCAGACATCTTAGAGTGTGAGGTCAAGTGGAACTTAGGAACCTTTACTATGAACAAAGCTAGTCGAGATGATGGAATTCCAGCTGAATTATTTAAAATCTTAAAAGATTATGCTGTTAAAGTGATATATCAGCAAATTTGAAAAACTCAGCTGTGGCCACAGGACTGAAAAAGGTCAGTTTTCATTCCAATCTCAAAAAAGGGCAATGCCAAAGAATGTTCAAACTACTGTGCAGCTGTGCTCATTTCACATGCTAGTAAAATTATGCTCAAAATCCTTCAAGCTAGGCTTCAGCAGTGCATGAATCATGAACTAGGTTTAGAAAAGGCATAGGAGCCGTGGATAAAATTGCCAACAAGAGTGTGAGGTCAAGTGGGACTTAGGAACCATTACTATGAACAAAGCTAGTCGAGATGATGGAATTCCAGCTGAATTATTCAAAATCTTAAAAGATTATGCTGTTAAAGTGATATATCAGCAAATTTGAAAAACTCAGCTGTGGTCACAAGACTGGAAAAGGTCAGTTTTCATTCCAGTCTCAAAAAAGGGCAATGCCAAAGAATGTTCAAACTACTGTGCAGCTGTGCTCATTTCACATGCTAGTAAAGTTATGCTCAAAATCCTTCAAGCTAGGCTTCAGCAGTGCATGAATCATGAACTAGGTTTAGAAAAGGCATAGGAGCCGTGGATAAAATTGCCAACATTGGCTGGATCATAGGGTAAGCAAGGGGATTCTAGAAAAACATCTACTTCTGCTTTGTTGGTGATACTAAAGCTTTTGACTGTGTGTATCACAACAAATTGGAAAATTCTTAAAGAAATGGGAATATCAGACCATCTTACCTCAGTTCAGTTCAGTCACCCAGTCATGTCCAGCTCTTTGCAACCCCATAGACTGCAGCACGCCAGGCTTCCCTGTCCAACACCAACTCATGGAGCTTACTCAAACTTGTCTATTGAGTTGGTGATGTGCATTGATTTGATGATGTGCATTGAGTTGGTGATGCCATCCAACCATCTCATCTCTGTCGTCCGCTTCTCCTCCTGTCTTCAATCTTTCCTGGCATCAGGGTCTTTTCCAGTGAGTCAGTTCTTCGAATCAGGTGGCCAAAATATTGGAGCTTCAACTTCACCAACTGTCCTTCCAGTGAATATTCAGGACTGATTTCCTTTAGGATTAACTGGTTTTATCTCCTTCCAGTCCAAGGGATTCTCAAGAGTCTTCTCCAACACCATCTTACCTGTGTCCTGAGAATCCTGTATGCAGGTCAAGAAGCAAAGTGAACTGGGCATGGAATACCTGAGTGGTTCAAAATTGGCAAAGGAGTATGCAAGGCTATCTATTGTCATCCTGCTTATTTAACTTCTATCATGTGAAATACTGGGCTTTATGAATCACAAGCTGGAATCAAGATTTCCAAAAGAAATGTCAACAACTCCAGATACTCTTCGGCCACTCTAGAGGCAGAAAGTGAAAAGTGCCTCTTGATAGGGTGAAAGAGGAGAGTGAAAAATCTGGGTTAAAACTCAACATTAAAAAGACTAAGATCAAGGCATCCAGTCCCATCGTGTCATGT